CAATGGATATTTTTACTAATTCAAAATCTTTAGAAGATGTATCTTGTTTATTTTAGCGTGGCTATTGGTCCTCTTTTCTCACTTGTTCTCAATATCAACAGATGTACAATAGAATAGGAACCATACGAAAAATCTTTCTATGCTACAATGAAATCTACTCGCCATATTGTTGATTGAAATGTCAAATCAGATATGGGTGATCACTAGTGTCGAATAAATACAATCGTCTGATGAGGATTCTCGTAACTTATTCTGTCAATGTTGAACTTTAAGAATGAATGTTTCTTCAACAAAAGTAGAATAAGAGTTCTTTCCAGCATTGAATATTATTCAGATAAACATATTCGATTACATTCAATTTATGCTGAAGAAGACGAAGTTTAGAGAGACACAACGAAAATTTGTACTGATGAACTTTACTTCATCATAAAATTGATGATGTTAGCAACGACTTTCAAATTAAATTTATTTTTCAGAGATGCGCGAATACAAGTACAATTTGTACTCTCAATTACTCATATAACGGGTGGGCCAGATAAAACGACGCACTTTGTTTGCTGTCTTTGAGGTACTTAGAAATGGTTTTAAAATCCAGTTTGGACCTCATTCGATAGAGAATTCATTGCTCTACAAAACTGTCTATTCTGTTTTTCAAATAAGTTTTTCTTGTCGGCGAAGAATTTGAATGATGAATACCTACTCAATCGTCCAACTGCGATTTCCCATTTTTCTGCAGACATCTATCGATTTGTGTCAGCCTTTGCTCATCAAGCCTGATGCTAAAAGTAATGTATTTAGCATCAATGGATAGAGAATGTTGTGCTTTACACTTCCACGATGTTTTCCAGGTTCCTAGTGCTGTCACTCAGGAGAAAAAGGCTTGAAGCCGACACTTGTCGATATTTTTCGGTGCACTTTGGAAAACAATCTTTTCAAAAGCCAGGCTTGCTCTATGAAAGGTTTTATTCTCATGCCCTCGGATGTAGAATTTAATTCTGAACTGAGTAGTATAACTGTTACATAGAACCGTGAGGGTGGGGGTGGGTGTGAGTGTGGGTGTGGATGTGTGTATCAGTTTTGAATTCTTCAACGCCCACACCCACACTACCCCCACCACACCCACGCCCGTCTATTCTGCGTGCAAAGAAATATTGACGTCGACCTATAGCTTGTCTTTAGTGAATGTGTCAACGATGAATTCGTTCGTGAACAGAATGAACGCTCTCACGTCATCGAAGTTAACAAAGAGGGCAAGCGCTCACTCTTATGCCACTGTGTAATTCTGGTCGATTAGCGATGGAAAATGATGAATCGCTGATATTTCTCGGCATAATTTCACGAAAATCTCGACGAATTGGGAGGATAATCAATGAATTGCGGCCTCGTTCTTGCCGTTCTCATGCGTTACTTATTTGCTTGAATAGAGATATGATACACTACACAGTAGATAATGAACAATGTAGTCTCTGTGCGATTTTCCAGATTGGTAATTGATCGTCAACTCGCAATGTTATGCTTCTCCATTTCTCTGTGATAGGTTGACGGTGCGATATTCCTAGATTAGAAAAACCAAATTTTATGAACTTTTTTTTTATCCATTGCAAGTAGCTTACCAAGAATGACAACAGGGAAATAATGGTAGCAACTTAGACTAGCAAAGAATAACTATAGTTCTTGTGTTACGAGCGAACACGTTCAAGATTGAAAGAATTCTACTCTCTCTTTCCACGAGTACGCACAGAAGAACAAAACGAATGAATCACGGTATTGAGCGACACGTGCGACAACAGTGTTTTCGTTTTTGACTCAATTACAAGAAAGTTATAGTGGTCATATGAATTAACAACTAGCTGCTATTTTCTTCTATCACTTGTATGGAGGTCACCTTCCTGTAAAATGCAAGAACATCATCTGAGAAAGAAATGGCATCTATAGACATTAGAGAAATTTTGGAGACCACAATTTTTTGTTACAACCATATCTGATCTCCTTCAACATGTCCACAATGTTATTTCTCACGTTTATGCAAATATCAGTCGATAATAGATGGTTGGATACATAATTCCACAGGATACTTGTAGTTAAAGAATGAGTCATTACTTCAGTTATACAGAATAGCAATGAAAAATCGATGCGTTTCACTTATTTTGATCAGGAGATTATAATCATTTATGATTCGACCACATTAAAGCTTTGTTCCGTTTTAAAGTTACCAGCACATCTTACCCAGAACATTCGGAATCTATCGTCGATTTAGTATTGTTAATGTCTTTTATATCTGTACATTTTTACTTGTCTATCTATATGACATTATACTTGTATTAGTTTTCTCGATTCTTCTCCACGTCTCTCTTTTTACAGTTGTCTCTTCTTTATCTCTCATTTTTTATGTTACTGTTACAAGAGAAAAGCCGTATCATTCATTTCTGTTCTTTCTGTTTTCTTTTATTTTTTATACCATCTAACATCCTCTAGTATGAAACATTGACTCGCTCTACATATTCTCCCCTATTCGAGTACAATAAAAATGTATGCTAGTCAATCTTCTACCATTTTTTTACCTACGCCTATCTATCTTTATTAGATGAATCAACAGTTTGAGTTTCAAACGCTGTTGCTCAAAATACATGCTCTTCTCTCCGACGACGATCGGTATCGATGTCGTTTTTTTCTTGGTGAAGACACTCCTAGAAACTTAAACAATAATCCATCGCTTCGTGGAGCACTTCAGAAGCTCGAAGCTCTGTTCGATAGGTCTATTATAAATGATCAAGACTGTGCTCATCTTATCGCTGCATTTACGCAAATACACTGTTATGACGCTGAAAAACGACTGAAAGGCTAGTTTGTTTCTATGTTGAATATGATTTTTTACTTGACAGCTCAATTTTTCTCTTTCAGCATGCCAACAAACTCAAGGTAGAAGCGACGAAGAAAATCTTTCACTCCAAAATATTCTTTTGAACAAGAATGAAGACGAGAGTATCTGCTCGACAGGTATGTATCGATAGGAGGTAGTATGTCGTTTCCAAATCAAAAGATTGCTTCATGCTTAAATATGCCATGTTTAACACATCAGATACAAAGACAGCTTCATTCCCACTTCATACATTCAACGATATTAGCAGCAGCAGCAAATTACCACCTATACAATCACATGTCGATAACAAAACCAAAGGACCAATTCGTATCTCTTTATGTACGAATGCAATGTTCAAAAAGTCATTTTGCACTCGTCGGTATGTTTTGACCGTACTCATCGTTATAACTCTGATTACTCTGCTGTGTGTTCTGCTACTAGGCAAATGGTTTCGAATAATGAATACCGAAGGTAAAGAGTCAAATATTCCACTGCTGTGCTATATAGCGATATCACTAAAGTATATTTCTCTTTCATGTTCTTCGACATGCATAGTGGTCGATTGCCGAGAAAAGAGCAATGGAGACCTCAAGTAAAAATATATTAGAGCACACCTCTGACGATGCTAGGAAAAAATAGTCGACAGAAAGGAGGAAAACTGTCATCTTCGGGCTCATTTGCTGAAGCTGCAGTTTTTTAAAAATTATGCCTTAGATATAACACTCGGAAGTGCTCCAATGATTATATAAAAAGAAATTAAGACATATAAGCATTCATCAATAACATAAGTGCGATGAATTTTTCAATTAGCACTGATGACATTATACCAGGCATAAATTCTGCTTGCGCGGATGTAAGAAAGTAAATACAGAGAATAAAAAAGGAAGCATAAAAAACAAAGCTTCAAAGATATAAGAAGAAGCGAGTAAATGGGGGAGAGATAAGATACGAAGATGCGAAGTAGAGCATTCATAAGTGTTTCAAGGACAAAAAAGGGAGAAGCAAAGAGACAGAAACAGAAACGTGACAAAGCAAAAAGAAAAGAAAACGAAGGAGAAGGATTCTGCCTGCACTTTTTTGTATAAAACTTCTTCATTTCAATAAATGATATCCATTTTAAAGAAGCAATTCTTGCTTTTCTAACAATTGTTGTACATGGTTTCTACGAAAAACTTGGCTAAAGTGATCCTTCTTTCTATTAGAAGAGTCATCCCAAACAAAAATATCATTATAGAAAAGCGGACAATCAAAATTCGTTGTATGCATGCATTTTAATCTTCTTTCAAGACAATCTTCTATGTATGGGCATATGTAAATACGTTTGTTTTCATTGGAAATGTTTTCCAAAAATCTTGGAACAAAACGCATCAGCAAAATCATCCGAATGTATTTGTTGAGCTTTTTCTTTATCCATTTTCGATATTTTCGATCATCGTATATATACAATTGTTTATTACAACGAAGCCTTTCGTATGGTATTTAATTAATTGGCCTAGCATACAAGAGAAGAAACAGTAGATAAGTTATCGACCGTTATAAAACATGTAGAGAATTTCTTTGCTTTTGCACAACAATAGTACTCTGTTCTTATTATGTAATACTCGAATTAGACGAATACAAGTATAATCAATCCAATTAGATGAAATCTTTTCTAAATTCAAAAAAGAAACATTGCGAAAGAGTTTTTCGATGTCCGTGGTTCTAAAAACTTTATTGTTTTTTTTTTCGGTGACAACGATGTTCAATCAGATTTTTTCCACTAGATGCGTTGCTCTTTCCGACACAAATGAACTGCACAATGCTATAATCAAAACAAAATAAATGCCGAATTTTTACTCCACTTGTTTGATGTATTAGTTGACGGTCGTCGAATCCAGTTCTAATCTCGTTCCACCGTCACTACTTTTATCGTTTTTCTCAATTGTTTTAGTTATTGAATAATTTCAAATAAATTGTCTTTGAGATCAAAATTTTCTATCGATTTTGTGAAAATTCCTGTAAATGTAATCTTCATTTGTGTACAATACATATTGAAATGCAAGACAAAAGCAGAGACATCTTTTCTTTATCATTCATAGATTGATAAATATCTAAAAGATTTATCCTTCTTTGTTCATTAATAATTGTAAAAGTAACAAGAATGAAGTCGTCTAAACAAGATATTCATCGACAAATTCGTAGTGAATTTCCATATAAAGATGAACAACTGACACAAGTATCAATTGCTGTGGATGACAATATTCAATTAGCAGCAACAATATGGATGCCTCGAAGTTAAAAATCAAATTTTTATTTTATTGAATGCGATTTTAAAAAAGAATTTTTATCTTAGGTGATAGTCTTCAATCAATAAATGAAGAAAAATTCGCAACCATTTTAGAATATTTACCATATAGAAAATCAAATTGGACGTTCGTTTTGTTTTTCAAATCATTTCTTTCAATTAATTAAATCAATTTGAACAGATCAACAAGAGATGAAATTCGTTTAAAATATTTATCCGGCTTTGGTTACGTTTCGATTAGAGTTCATATTCGAGGAACTGTTATATTTTATTCGAATTTTTTTCTGTCAAGTGAAATCAAAAGGAATATTTGATGATGAATATTCACAACAAGAATTATCCGATGGACTAAAAATTCTCGACTGGATTTAAAATCCAAAATGGTCGAATGGAAAAGTAATTAAGAAAGATTATTATTTCATTTTTATTTATTCTCTATTTAAAAGGTTGTTATTTATGGGAAATATTGGGGTCGTTTTAATGGATTACAAATTGGTTTTCGTCAACCTAAAGTTGAACAGGTTTATTTCATTTTTCAAAATTAAATTACATAAAAGGATATTTTTTTTTGTTAAAGAATTTATCTGGAATTATTTCTGCCTATTCAACAGATGATCGTTATAATAATGATATTCATTATCATGGTGGATGTTTAGCAGCACAAGAAGGTTTTTATTTAAAAATTCATTTTCAATTCAAATAAAAGAATTTCTTCTTTTTATTGTTTTTATCATTATCATGGTCAACTCAAATGCTATTATGCTTATCTGTTCCTCCTCATCCATTATATCAAGGAGGAATTGATAAAGATTGTCAATTATTCAATATTCGGAAAGAAAGATTAAATAATTCAATACCTTTAGATTATCATTGAATAGAACATCAGAATCGGTTTGAATAATTCAAATTTCAAAACAAAGTATAAATATTTCATTTATTTAGAGATAAATATTGGCGTCATGGAAGTATATCTGAAGATTATTCGAAGATTTTATGTCCAGTTTTATTAATTGGAGGATTTTCGAATCTTTATAATTCGTCGATTTTTCGTTTAATTAATCAGTTGGAATGTCCAAAACGTGCTATTTTAGGTCCATGGCGACATCAATGGCCGTCTGTTTTGTCATGTGCATGTCATAAAATCTTTATTTGATAATTTTTCTTTTCTAGAGATGATGATTATCCAGGACCACAAATTGGATTTTTACAAGAACTAGTTCAATGGTTTGATTATTATATAAAAAGTATTGATAATGGTTACGAAAATAAACAAGTACTATCTGTATTTCAATTTCATTCAATTATAAAAGAAAGAAAAGGAAAATGAATACATTTTAATTCATCTCCATCTCATCCATATGAACATTTTCAAAGAAATAATCATTTAATTTATCAAAATTCACAAATTCATGCAAAACAAATTAAATATTATTTGTCTTTTCAATGTTTAACAACCGAATTTATTTTAAATGATTTAGATCCTAAAAAGGTTTCATTTTTATCTCCTCAAGAAACAGGTTTATCAAGTGGAAATTTACTTGGATGGGGAATTATTTACAGTCTTGGCCATCCAATAGATCAACAAGAAGATGATGGAAGATCATTATGTTTTGAATCTCTTCCGTTAAATCAAGATTATGGTATTTATTTCGGAAAATATGTCAAATTAATTTCATTTATTTTCAGAATTATTTGGATTTCCAAATGTTAAACTTAATTTAAGTTCTAATAGTAAAAATGGTTTAATATGTGTTCGTCTCTGTATGATTGAGGAAAACAGTTCATCTTCAATTCTTATTTCACGTGGAATTCTTAATTTAACACTTTATGCATCACATGAACATTCTCAACAACTAAATGTTGATGAAATTTATAAGTTTGTATCTTTGCATTAGTTTTTGTTTTAAATAAAATCTTTTCTTTTTCCTAAAATTAAAGTGTTGAAGTAACATTATCTGGTGTGTGTGTGTATGTTTGCCATCTGGATGTCGTCTTCGTTTATCTTTATCAACATCATATTGGCCAATTGTTTGGCCTTCATCGCAACTATCAACATTAACGTTTGTTATGATATATTTTAGAGAAAGAATAAAAATTTTAGGTTTTTTTTAGAATTCATTTTAATGAAATATCACCATATATTCTTACATTACCTTGCTTAAATGACCAATAGTAAGAGAATTTTATTAAAATATATTTAAAAATAAAGTTTGACCAGAGATGATTTTGATTTTCCTGAAATTTGTCAAGGAATTCCAATAAAACTTTTACGGAATAGCTCTATCACTCGTTTTAGAATGTTAGATGAAATCAATGAATTAATAACATTAAAAGTAATTCAATTTTTCTAATCTTTTTAATAATTTTCATTTCTTTTTAAAGATCAATGACGATAATGGTTCTATTGAATATCCCGATGGTTTAATATGGAATGAAACATCAGAAAGTATTTATGAAATTAAAAAAAAATGATTCTCAATCAGCAAGAATAGAAATAAAAAGATATATAAAATATTATTTTCAAGATCAATCATCAATGAAATATTCATAATAAGAGCCAATTAGTTTTTAAGAGCGATTGGAATTTCACATTTCCTAGAACTTGAAACTAATTTTTTTAGTTCAAATTACATATGACATCATACTTATAATTATACTTTGATTATAAATTGCAATAGATGGAACGTACAAGGAAATAAAACAAATAACATCTTTCACTTTGTCAAGATCAAGAGCTATTATAAAAAACTCAACATAAAAAGAAAAATTTTGAAAAATATTTTGAATGATGAAAATAATCAATATGATGATATTCATTAGAGTAACGATTCTAATTTTAACACTTCATTATATGCCGAATTCGGTCCGTGAAAAGAGTTTACAACTTTAGAAAATCTATTTATGAAGAAAAAAAAATATTAATTTAATATTTCTCTATAGGAAAAGTTCGAAATAGCCACCATAAATGATTTAAATGTCTTTTTCTATTTGTCACTATGCCATAGAGCTTCTTGGCTATGGTTTTTTGCAAAGTTCGTTTCATTTGAATAGATGTGAAACTTATCTTTAACATAGTTGAAAAATCAACAGTTTCAAGGAGAAAGATCGGTTACAGGAGTATGTCGGAAAAGTCAGAATTTTAATTTTTTGTTCTTTAGACTAATTGCATGATAACAAGTTTTTTGACATGTAGTTTTACATTATCATGATGTAGCTTGATATCATTTGTATCTGATAGTGGTCTATTTTTCCCATGAATCCTCAAGAATGGTGGATGTGGGTGTAAAAGTGAGTAAAGAGAAAGTCAACAAACTTATATCCAGAGCCACACCCTCCGAGCGCTATAGCTTGAAGTGGACTAAAAAAAAACATTCGCACGTATTGTAAATTTTAGAAGAAAACCAAAATATATGCATATACATAGGTAGCATAACTATGTTCCGATGTCTGTCTCGTATATCCATCGTCATTACGATGAATAAGATATACTATTTAGTGAATAAAGATATGTTGAACAGCTGGAACATCTAAACAAAAATAAAAGAAAATTTTAATATAATGCTGTTGCATTTTGATATAATGATTAATCAAAACTATATTAAGTGCTTATATTTGAAATAATGAAAAATTATATTTTGTTTGAAATTGAAAAGTTCTAAATAAGTCAATTTCGAATAATTACCATTAAGAAGAATACATTCTATAGATATTGTTTCGAGAATGAGGTTTTTTGACACCATGACAAATTCGTGGCAATAAATATAAATACAGAATCGATCAAGTTTTAAATGATCAACTATTAATGATATTGATATAAGAGTGAGAATATTGATAAAATGTATTATCTTGTGCTAAAATATCAAATCGTTCATTACTAATACCACATGACGAATAAAGAACATCAATATTATGGAGTTTCTTCAAGATAATAAGTAATATTCCCTGAGGTAGATTGGCGTCGATGTCTTTTCGGATAAAAAAGATCAATGCAAGGATGAGTGTGGGTCAAGGATAAGCCAACATTAACACCAACGTCGACAATGATGTATAAATCAACTAATCAATCTTTTATTTATTTTTAACTAATAACAGTTTACCAAACTTTCAATTTTATATTGTTTTCATGAGAGTATTAATAGATCTGTTAGTTAGTTTCTTATTATTTCTTTTGTTCATTTTTTCTATGTATATGCATTTAAATATAAAAAAAAAGTCAATTAAATACTATTTGCAACAAGTTAATCATAATGTGATGAAAAACTCATATTTTCAAACATAATTGCACTTTTCTTTTCTTTTTTGTTCTTGTTCATCAAACGAAAATATCCATTGAAAAATTTTCTTGCTTATATATCATCAATTTGAAAATGATTGATCTCAATCATTTTATTGCTGATGGGTAAAAGTGTTATAAACAATAACTTGGCCACATTCACACACATCACATACAATACAGAACGAATAATTTTTTTTTTTTTTGTAATAGACTTAGATTGTTATATACACCAATAGAATGAACATTCAATTAAGTATAACAATTCACATTTAAGATCAAGAAAAAAAATATGTGATAATGACATCTATAATTAAACGATGGGAATAGATAGAAATTTTTCTTTACTTCAAATTTCCCACACATCACCAGGGAAAGATTTACTTCTGAGCTAACATTATCAATTATAATGATTCATAATTATATTTAGTATATACAAGGGAGTAACTTGTAGAATAATAAAAAAAAAAAAAAATAATAAGAAAAATACAAAATTTATCAGCCTTTGTAACATACAGACACAATAACTCCGACAATTATTTGATCAAGTTTTGTTTTCAATTTTTGTTCGCTGTCTTCAATTTTAATTCGAATTCGAATAATGATTTGTTTAGAAAATTTTATTTCCTCATATCTTTAGGGCGACTATCCAATTCCTATTAGAAAATTTCATTGAGAGTATACAGATACAGTTCAATTAGGTTCGGGTGCGAAAGTTCTGAACCCGACAAGCTCTACTTTTGTGCTATCTGTAATATTGATGCATCTGGATACAAAAAAAAAAGAATCGTGGAGAGTTGAATGATATATAATTTTGTAGAGAATTATTTGCTCTATCGTACTGAGTAATTCAAATAGAATTCTGTTTGCAAATTCCAGTAGATAAAAAACTAATAGTCTTATTGATCTTCGAAAATCAAATTCTCTACACAAATCATTATTTGAATTCTTATTAGAGTTTACAACAGTAGGGAAAAAAAAGTTGAAAATAAACCTGATTCAATAATTAATATTGAAAGCCATTGTTCATAGTAAAAAAAAAATTAATTTGTTTATTTTTACTTCTTCATAAATTTTCCTTTTTTTTACGGTTTTACTGCATTGATTTGCTTCATTGTAAATCTTGATAATTAGGCACAAGTACACTTTAATATGTAGTTATGAATTGCATATTACTTGTTGTTCGTTTTTTGTATTCAATGACCATTAGAAAATGAATATTTTAAATGACTAATCATCAATATAAGTGAAAACTTTTAATTTGATAAATCATGACCAAAATGAGAGATCATTGAATGAAACATTGCCTCTCGAGGAAAAAAATTTTTACTAATTAAAATTTTAATTTAATTACATTTTAATAAATATAATACAATATCCATATAACCAAGATAAATAGCAATATGTATTGGAAGCCAACCATCACGATTCATTTTTGATATATCACAATGAGCAAATTCAACAAAAAACTTTAATAAATCAAGACGATTATGAAGACAACATAAATGAACTAATGATTGACCATTATATTCCAAACAATTAAGATTAATATTAATACGATAAGATTTTAATAGAAGAAATTTAATCTTAGAAATATCTTCATTATATAGAATAGTATTAAATAAACGACAAGCAAGTTGATGATAATCGAAGATCATATTTTCTATGAACGAGAATAAAATTTCATTAACAATGAGTTGAGAGAGAAAAGAAAAAGAACATTATCATTTTTGTTTTCTTTATAATGAATCACTTGTGAGAAATTTATATATAATAAGCTTTAGGTATCTTAAGTCGGAAACCACAAACGACCATTCTCTCACTTTATATTATCCTTTCTCATATAAATAACACTTAATCGCTTGATTGAACTAGACGTCATTTTTTTCCCAGAATGAAGAAAAAAAAAACAAATAAACATTTGATATGATTCTCCTATCAAATGTGATTATACAAGCTTTTGACAATAATTCAATGATTGTTAATAAAATAATTGTAAGAATTTTAGTTTAATGAATTATTTTAAAATTGATCCAGGTGTGTACAGTTAAACGGATAATTTCCCTTATTTCTTTTCTTCCTTTTTTTTTTCTCTTTTGATGTTTAACGTTCGTTGATTACCATTATGTGTTGATTTTTATATAAACAATTCACTAGTCTAGCTCTAATAATAACATACAAATCTAAATGACTGCGAGCTGTTTCTATGAATCATTCTTTGGCTTTCGACACATCGTCATCATTGCCTTACAGCAGAATTATACGAGAAGTATTAGTAACACTGACGAGTTGTGTTTCATGAATAATTGCTCGACAGCTTGTATTGTATAGATATGTATATATATATATATATATACATCCATGCAGACATACTCTCTCTTTCTTCTATCTTGTAAATACTAACGCATGAGTATAGCTACGGCTTGATGCGTTCAGTTGAATAGCTCGCAGGCAAGTTCATGCATTCTATTATTTACTGTTCGTATACAAGAAATGACCATCGAACTGTTCATTCTTCTTATCTGACTGACTGCATGAGAACGCACGAGCGGGCAAGTGTATGTGTGTCTTATCTTAAGCACTGTTCAGTACTAATGAATGAGAACATGCATGTCTAGAATAAGAAAAAGACAAAATTTTTTTTTTCTTGCTTATATGGATATATATAGATAATTATTTGAATGAGACTAATGATCCTAACAGACATATAGTTTCTATTATCGTGTGAATATTTATTTTCTTTTATATCTTTTGATTAAATTGCTTTGAAATGGATATTTCTTATGGAGATTTGAAGTAATTTTCATATCGTCATTCTCTTTTTCATGATAATGATAACTGATTATTTCTATCAATGATTTTCTTATTATTACGTGAGATGCAAGATATATGTCGTTAAGTGTGAGAATGTGTTTACTCGCACTTTTTCTTCCTATTATACGTTCATTTTGCTATTCTATTTACTGATCAGTCGATCATAAGTCATTATTTAAGAACAAGAAAAAGAGAAGAAAAAAAATGAATCAGTATTTTGATGCCCAAAGTAAGTTTTAAGATTTTTATGCATGAAAAAAGAAAGTGAAAGATGAATATAAATGTTAACAATTTTCTTCAATTATATCAATTTTTCGACGACATACGAAGGTTATGTCTAGTTAATGGCATATTCTTTCAGTCTTGTCTCAGCATGTCGTCATATTTTTCTTTCTTTTTCTATCGTTTTCTTTTATAAATGCTTAGCTCTTAAGTAAAGAGATCTCGTTTTTAGACGTAACATGAGAATAAAAAGAGACGAGAAAGAGAAAAAAGAACATTATGTATTATACATTTTTGTTGATTTTAACTATGTCAAAAGTGTATCATCATTATCGCCATTAAGATTTTAATGATATTATACAACTATATAGAATGAGTATTCAAATGAAATCTACATTATTAAAAAGTATCCAGCTATCTGTTTATCTACTTGGATGCAACAAAAAAAAAAAAAATAAAAGTCTAATTATGCACCTTGTTTATGTGAACAATAACAAAGCAGAGAAAGATATGTTTGTCTAGTTTGGTATTTCTTGATTAATATAATGAGTATTTCCATACCATTTGAAATGCTCTCTTTTCAACAAACAATCACTAGGGAGATCAATGAGTCTTGGGGTTAGTGATTAGTATCTCCATTTCTTTCTTTTTGTTTTTTCATGCATTACAATAAATAGGAAGGAGAATGAAATCCATAACTCGATCAGCTGAGTTAAGCATTACTACTATACAAACACCAAACAGATGTATATATGTAGAAAGACAATAGAATTTAAGTTAATTTCATTTAGCCATTTTCTTTACTGTCTCTGTTTTTTTTTTTGATTCTCATATCTAGACGTTGATCATTGTAAATCTTGTCATCGTCTGTTTCTTCTCTTTTTTCGTTCTTATGTTCTAATACTCTAAACAAGAATGATGAATAGGTGAATGACAAGAGAGTGAGAGCGAGAGTCAGCGAAGAAAAAGCTTAGAACACACATACACTCACTGCAGGAAATTAATAATGAACGTAAAGAAAGGAGTACGAGCAATAAAAATTAGGACCTATCAAGATTTTTGCTGTCAAGCAAGTGAATAGAAGAGAAAAAAAAAAGCCTCTCTTTCTTTTTTTTTTTAAGTATTCATAGCGTTGATGGTTACAAGAGAACTACTGCCTATTGCCACTAAATGAACTTTTTGACAATGTCATGCAATATTTTCAGTGTACGATATAGAGAATTAATCAGAATTATAAATAGAGAGAAAATAGTACGTCTACACTTGAGAAATCTGACATAAATCGAACTTTTCAGTTAATGACAACATTGAACATAGAAAAAAAAAACAACAACCTTGATTAAGCACATTTATTTTCTTATACATTTGAGACTATGATTGATTTCAGAGAATGATTTCTTTTTCTGTTATTTTTTTTCTTCTTCATTTAGAATTTCTCATTTATTCATCAATGATATGATTTATCTTCTTGACAGTAGCATTTGTCTGCTACTGTCCATAATAATATCTGTTGTTCAATCGACAGCATTTTATCAAAATGATTATGAACCACGTGTATTTGATTATATACCATTAAATTGTTATGATTGTTTATCATATCGTGATATTATATTAACACAATTAACAACAATTCCAGCACAATCTTTTGCTAATTTTAATTTAGGTTCACGTGATACAAATATGATATTAAATGGACAATTAAAATTAATTTTTCAACCATATGCATTTCAATCACTTATTGTACAAAAACCAAATAGAACATTAACAATTACATTTGCAGCACCTAATTCATGGTTGAATATAACAGAAAATACATTTAATGGTCTTGATCTTCAGCCATATTCAACATTACGTATAATTATCAAATTTTTCTATGGTTGTACGTTTCATAAAAATTCTTTGTCCGGTATTAAAATGGGTAAATATTCTCGTTTAATAATTGATATATCATCTGTAACTCAAATTCATTTTCAAAATCATATTATTGAACAAAATGATTTAATATCATCTATTGATTTTATAATATCACGTACGGATACAATATTCTTTGAATCATATTCATTTTCATTCTTAAATATTAATTCAAATCAAATAATATCATTTCATTTTGAACTTATATCACATATACATTTAAAACCATATTCATTTAAATCTTTACAATTACATTTATCAAGTTCATTTCGTTTTTATTCATTATTTTTAACACGTTTAACTATTGATTCATATGCATTTCAAAATATGTCTTTAGATACAAATTCAATATTTAATTTTACAATACAAACATTAGGTACATGTTTATGTTTAAAATCTTATACATTTGATAATATACATCAAATGTATGAAAAAAGTAAAAATATAAAAATTTTTCTTATATTAAATAATCTTCGTGGACTTTCAATATTTTCCAATACATTTTCAAATTTATCATTAAATACTATTGAAAATCAATTAAAAATTTTCTCAGATAATCCAATAAATGATCCAAATCCAATTATAAATTTTGAAAAAGATTCTTTATTATCGATCAATTCTGGTTTAATTATATTTAATTTTTCATCAACAACAATAATTAAATTTGAAAAAAATTCTTTACAAACAAATTATTTATTTTATAATATTTATTTAAAAGATATTACTTTACTTGATTTATCATTATTAAATTTAAATCTTTTTAAAACAAATATGAATATACATTTTGATTATATTTTTTATGTAAAATGGTTTCAGTCTATTGAAAAGAATTTCATGTAAGTAAAATATAACTAATCATTAGATAGTAACAAATTGTCAAAATGCCACTCGTTTTTTATTTTTTCGTATCACAATGAATGTAGTGATTCAATCTAGATTTTCTCTTTGAGAAGAATAATTTAAAACTTCGACATCCAGGTAGACATTAAGTGAAAACTAGAAAGTAAACAAAGCAACATATGCTCTGAGCTATGATTTATTAATAACATAAGAAAAAAAGTCTTTGTTCTTCTTATTAGTATTAGTCGGAAAACACAGAGAAAACATTTCTGAGAAACTTATTTATAATCTGAAACTATGCTTTTCACTCTAAAAACGACTTTTTGCTTTTATCTGTTTGAGATTCCAAAAAACAAACGTTATTCTTCTTTAGCATCGAATGCTTTTTCGGAAACATGTGTTCAGTATAATGAACTTACATAAAGTTTCATAGAATATACCTCCAAGCATAATACCTTAATAGCATTAGCGTGAGTGAAACATTTTCTAGATAAAACTCATTTTTCTCAGCATAGAAAACTTTTGTTGAAGGCTATCTTCATATTTAGAATCAGCATTGAATGATGAATAATTTATTAGTCTTCTTATAAAAATATGTTTCCATGTATACATAGAGTTAGCATCTCTTACAGTAGTTTTTCTTTTGCGGATTTATCTTTTTCAGACTATATTGAAATTTGAGAGATGATAAATCATGTTCGTCTGACCTATGGGAAAATATTCAGTGTGTTTGCGGGGGCGAACAACTGTCTTTGAAAGCACAATTCCCTACCCTAATAACGATAATTATAAGCAAGTACTCATCAGTAGTCTTCGTACGGAGACCTAATTGTCTGAACATGACAATGGAGCGCTTACATTGTAGTCTTGTGTGTTTCGTGAGTACTCGTTTGTAGTTTTTATGTGTCCTGATAATTAATAAAAAAATTACTCATAAGCAAATATTCTGTTTAGTATTCTTGCATTACATCCGTTTTATTTAAGTATAAAACTAACAATTAAAGAGAGAGATGCATTCAGTTTCAGAATCAGAATTGTTTGCGCGTATTCAGAGCTTATTTATTATGAAAATAAGCAAACTAATATTTTTAAATTATCTATCTATGGTATAATTTTAAAGTCAATCTGCAAAAAAAACAAAAAAAATATTTGTATTGAAGGTGAAGAAATGAACAACAGAAAATGATAATTCATTCTTCTTTTCTTTAAATCATTATTTATTTACTCATACTTGCTGAATAAAATACTGAACAGTTGTCTCTGATTCTCACTTTGTAATTATAGCCTTATTTGGCTCTTAAGAATGTAGCTATATGATGAAAAATATTTCATGAAGTTTTCATCGTTTTTCTTTTTTAAGAACTATTAAAATTTTCAAAAACAAATATCATTCATATTGATTGTCTTTTCTCTGATGCGAATATAAAATAATATTTCAAAGGGTATATTCAAACAAATGTTATTCTGTGTTTTTTTTTTTAGTAATCATCGATCATTGATTCAATTCTATTTTAATTATATAGCCAATAATTCATGTCTTATTTACGAAGCTCCTCGTTATTTACCATGGTTATTTCAAAATTCTAATACAACTATATGTAATTGTCCCTTACTTTTTGCTTATAAACATGGTCGATTAGATGGACAATTAATACCATGTATAAGTTCAATGTCTGGACATGAAACAGCTCGTAAAATGGATGAATGTCATTTTGATCGAAAAGAAAATCTATGTCATACAACACTTGAATCTTTAACTGATTTAAATAATAATAATACATTAACACATTCATTTATATCAAATTCATTAGAAATAGATAATTTTTTAATTCATCAATTATATGATAGAAATTATCTTTCATGTTCATATAATTATTCATTATTTCGATCATCATTTATTGTTCGTTCACGTTTATTTAATAATATAGGTCTTATTATAGGTATTATTCTTAGTATATTTATTATATTACTTATTCTTGTTATGGCATTATTAAATGGTTTACAATATAAAATACGAGAATATGATGAAACATGGACATGGAGACGAAATATGTCTTGGACATCATTACGACGAACATTATCACAAACATCTTTAAGACGTTCAAGACGAGATTTACGTACAATCAATGGACATGTAATAACATCAAAGTCTGATAATCAACTTGATCGTTTAAGGTTTGAACAAGCAGATAATGATGAACAAGAATTAGATAGTGAATTTATTCAAACACCATGTATTAATTTATCAATACCGGAAAACTTAAAGAAAAATACTCAAATATAAGAAGTCTTTTTCTTTTCTTTTGTGATATTTTTATTTTGTTTTCTTTTCTTTTCTTTTTTTCATTCTAAATAAACTGAAAATGTGAAATACAATTGAACTGCTAGTCATGTAAGTGAGGAGGTTTTAAGCAATGTTTCGAAACTGAAAAATAATTTTCTCTAGATCGGAATCATTGAAAAAGAAGTTACCAGGATTGAGACGAGAAAAAAAAACTCTGAACATTTCGATTAGAAAATATATGACTTTTATAAATATAAGAAATGTTTTAAAACTAAAACAATATTTCTAAAGCTTTAGTTCGATTTATATTGAGATTCGTTTATTGAAAATATTATCTTAGGAATTTAGCTTGTTAAAGTTGATTCTGAAATAGAAATAAAATCAATCAAAGAATTCAAGTGGATATTGCTTTTATCATAGACATCATTTAACTATTATTTAATTAACTTCAGCAGATAAAATTAAGTGATATTGCACATTTGTTAACAATAACGTTGATATATCACCAAGCATGCTCAATGTTCAACCAACTGTTTACCGACTGTTTTAGTAAGAAAAATACGTTTAGAAACTTTAGTAATTAATGTTGAAGATCATTGCAAGTGTAAATCAATCATTTTAACACTGCTCTCAGTCGTAGTTATGCCTAACAAGCTTTTTTATTAGAAAAATTGGTAGTTTTTATATTAAAATTCGCTAGATTTAAAAAAATTCTTGTGGAAAACCCATCATCTTTTATTCTGAAGAACAAGATTATTTTATTCGAATAGAGAAAAGGATCATAATTAATTATGTACGAAAAGCAATAAATAAGTTAGAACAGTTTCTCTCGTGTATAGCAATTTAGCTTCTTCTTTTTTTTTTTTTTTTGAGCGATAAATCTAATAATTATAGAAAACACTTAGAAACACCCTCAAAAATGGATAAATATTTATTTACTGACAATCATATTTTTCTTTTTTAGGTAGTGTTAAAAAAAAATGAATGTGTGTTTATGAGAAATACAATATGATTGCAATAATGATGATGCGAGTGGTGAAAGCATGAGAATGAGAAATTGAAACGCATATCTCACTGTACAAAATGAAAGGTGTTAAATTACATGAAGGTGACAAGGCGGATCTCACGGTCAACATGAAATGTACACACACACAAAACATTTGGATCATATTGGAACTCAAATATCTCGAATGTTTTCTTTTTTGTAAACTGGTCATATTGGATTAGATCAATTTTTCCTATTAGTGTTCATTTTCGTGTTTAAAACTCAGTATACAGATGTTTTCATCAAACGAATCATGCTGTGTATCCGAACATTATTTGATCTCTTTTTCTCTCGTTCTCACCTAACTGACAATTAGAATGATGAGAATGATTGAACGAAATTTTCTCATTTGTGTTTTTCTTTTTCGTTTCCTGTCCTTTTTCTTTTTCTCATTTCATTTTTCTATATACACATTCGCTTCTACGTTTTCATTTCATAGTGAATATGATTCTCGATCATCATCAATTCGCTCATCGTCTATTTAATATTATTCTTCATAATGGAAATATTTATGATATTAAAATGCTTGTATTAAAATCTTATCGTATTAATATTAATCTTAATTGTTTGGAATATAATGGTCAGTCATTAGTTCATTTATGTTGTTTACATAATCGTCTTGATTTATTAAAATTTTTTGTTGAATTTGTTCATTGTGATATATTAACAATGAATCGTGATGGTTGGCTTCCAATACATATTGCTGTTTATCTTGGTTATATGGATATTGTATTATATTTATTAGAATGTATTAAATCAAATTAAAATCTAGTCATATTACTATTATATATTTTTTTTTTGTCTTTTGCATGTGAAAAAATTTTCCCGGTGTTTATTCCAAAAAGGTAATTATTTGTCTAATACCTAAATATATATTGAATATGAGATTAAGAGCTTAACAATCGATCGAGTGTCGAAGGAAAATCGACTTATTGTTGATCGGTTTTTTTGTTTCTTTCGAAGAATTATTAAATTTTCTTTTTTTGTTTTTAGAAAATGTGAACAGTGATTAACAATCAAATGAAACACATCCTCTTCAAAGTGGTCACGTACCGTTGATATTTAAACAATTTTCTGTACGCCATTGAAAACGAAAAAAAAAAACGAAAGTGATAGTTTTCTCACCTATTGCTCTTTTTTCCCATGCTGTATTATGTAAATAAAAAGTGAATCGATCACACGATGTGTGGCGGTACGTTTCTTTCTTTTTATCTATCTGTGTTATGACAAGATAATCTTCAAATACAGGAAATGAATACCTAAACATGATTAATTTGAATTTTTCTCATCAAAGTATTCGTTATATATATTTCAAAAAGAATGCATTAAACAATGTTATAAAATCACCTATTTTCTAAGTATCTCATTGAGTGCTCATCATCTTGGAGCTAATAATCAGTAGAAAACATCAATTCAATACGTTCATCTCTGTAATATATGAAGAAACTAGGTCAAGTGTTTCAAAGCTTTTGATCTGATATTTTGCTCATAAGTAAGTAGAATGAGGTGTGAATAGAAGGCACTCAGAAGTATTAGAGGTTATGTACTTTCCTTCTGAATTTATACGCGTTTTACTGGTTTTCTTCCTATGTAAGATATTTACCCAAAAAAAAAAATGAATTATGAAATTTTGAGCTGAGATTCTCTTCATGTATAGATCTCAAGATCTTTAGAATATTATTTTTCTCAAGTTTTTGTGAAATATAGGTATTTCTTGTATATTCATTATTCTAGAAAGGGAATATCTCTCGTGATTTAGTTTTTGCGGTAAATATCTTAAACAAGATGAAAACCACTAAAAACGATTATAAATTCGCAAGAAAAGCATATGAATTCTAATTCTTTTGCTTGCTTTCTATTCGTGCATGACCCTACTTATGAGTAAAATATCAGATCAAAAGCTTTGAGTTACTTCAAGTAGTTCTGTTGTTAATTTTTTTGCAAAATATTGCTATCACACTATTTTTATTTTTTTAAATTTAAGTTTCTGAGTTGATGGTTCGAAGTCCGATGCATACTATCAAAAGAAAATGAAGTCTTGACAACTATTTTTTTCTTCATGATTATTATATGAAAATAGTACTTCTACTATCATAAAAGCAATAAAAATAAGGTGATTGGCAATTATTGAAGATTTAAAAGCTGATGGCCGGTGTTAACACAGTTTAGGGATTGTTTTTTTTTCTCTAGTATTCATCGGACTTCGAACAACCAACGCATAAATCAGTTAAACTATTACATTGTATATGAAAATTTTCAAGAAACACTTAAAGTAGAAAAAAAACATAGTGTGATGACAATATTTCTTAAAAAGGCTAAGTGCAAAAGTTGAACATATTGAAAATTGAACTAAACTTTTTTTTTATTGACCATTCGAAAATGATGGAACATGCTTTTATTGGTAGAATGATATAGGGTTTTGTAGAGAATCAAGAGCATATTCTTTTGGTTAAAAAAATCGGTTTCAAATCAAGAAAACTCTATGAGATGTTAGAAAAATACTTAGATCTCAGTTTATTCTGCGTTATCCTTTAGAGTAGAATTTATATTTGAACTTTATAGTTATTAATTAGCATCATATAAACTAGACAAATACAAATAAAAAAGATAGCCTGATATTTTGACATATCAATTTTTTCTTTCTTATCTACGATAAATGTTCTGTTGGCAACAATGATGAGCTTAAATATGTTGTAAGCATATAGATATTGCAAAACAATACGTAAGAAAAACTTTGTACCTTGTCAAAATCATTCGATTCTATATTACAAGTAATATATCAAGCATTGTATTTCGCATATTGTAAAACATTGGTTGTCTCTTTAATAAGCATACATTTTGTTTTCATATTATAACGATAGAATGTATTCAATAAGCAATGAAAAATCAGGCTGTTCACTACTATTTAATTTGTCTAAGCTAGAAAATTGAGCACTGTAGTCAATCTCATCCTATATTTTTGTCCGGTTCTATTTTGATTGATTCTTGTATTCAGTGTCTCACGGGTTATAGATGTGGTGAAAATGTTAGAACATTGTTTAAGTGATCAACTAAACTATTATCCATTTCATAATTTTTGATAGGAACAAGATTGAGGTCGGTGGATATTTCCATGGGAATTTTTTTACCATGTTATACAAAAGTATCTCCTATCAACGTGAAAATTTCAGCGTTTGTGGAGCTTGATTAGCTAATCATTTTGATGTATTTGGATTGCAGAAAATGCTTTGGCATGTATGATTCCCAGAAGTCCACTTTTCATGGTTTTTATCGTATAAAATTTCACAAATGATTTTTTTTAGCGTTTTTCATCTTTTTTTCTATACATTTATTATTCGTATGTTTTTGATCGTAGTATCTGGAGCAATATTGTTTCCAATTCTGGAACCACTCTGGAGCGAATGAGAGAGGACTAAAAGTAGATGGATCTTCACATATGACATCATAAAATAATGAAAATTGATTTATATTTCAATTGAAAAAGAATGCAACTTTTGAAATTTCCCAAATGATTGACATAATGACAAAGATAGAGCGAAATTTACTCTACAAAATAGTATATTTGGCTTTTCGGGAGTGGATGGATGTGGGCGTAGGTGTGGTTGAAGAGTACACCTAGGTCTACACCCACACCCAGTATCATTGTATCGAACGTGCTTCCTGCATAATTATAGATCGGATATTTTTACAGTTGTAAACTAAACTTTCCATCTACTTTTGATATTTTGAAAAGACTCATACATGAAACCTGTATGCTTATCTATATCTTCACAACAACAGTGAGCTTAATTAGGTACGAAAAACATCCCATTTCATAAAGATTAGATCTCGCAGAGAATTATATATCACTTTCATTGATTGTTCGTCGAACAATCCACAAACAATACATTGCCTATGACAAAATAAAATTAAATCGATCTGTTAAATAAAGTCGAATATCTATGAGAATTGATTGTTGGAGTAATGGGTAATGATATCCCAGACTCTATTAGAACTGCCGAAAAATCATCAACATTTTTCTGAACACTTATATTGTCCACCTGCATTTATCAACAGATAAAAGTTGTTTTATTTATTATATATCACTGAAATTACTTATTCATTTTCGAATGAGTCTTTGTTGAAGATGTATTACAATGATTGTGTTAAACTCTTTCATTTTTAATATTCATTTTGACATTCATCAGTACAAAGAAACGAGTCAGCGTCTACCTTTTCCATTTTCTGAGCAGTCAGAAACAATTGTATCAGTACATTTCCTTTTCGTCTTTCATGTTTTGTATCGATTTTACGTCCGCAACGGATACATTGTATATGTACCATCCAGTCAGTTACAAGGGTGTGAAGTATTATTAACATAGAACAAAGTATATAATTGAATATATCTTTCTTGCAACGTACAAATATCTTACATACTTTTAGAAAAAACTAATGCGATACTCTCTCACTCACTGATAAGAAAAACAACACAATGCATCATTACGTACATCACAAGTTTCGCACATGCAGTGTTTGGCATAAAAGATAACACAAATCAAATTCCATTCTATATTCTGTTGTTCTGAAAAATGTGTCTTTTCAAACGAGAGATTATTAAGTTGGAATTATTGACAAGAGACTAAACAAATGATTGGTACTATGATGACAGTGTGTGCTATTTTTAAATGTCCCCCCCCCCCCCTCACGTTTTCGTAACTGTAATAAGTGGATGTTATAGCTAGGGTGTGGATGTGGCACTAGATGTCTAATTATGTAGGAATTACATCTATCACCGCGTCCACCCAATCACATCTTTACCGAAACTTTATGCTTTTCTTGTCCCAAAAATTTTCGAAATACGAAAGCTTTCAACATCATCCAGGAAGATGAATTAGGGCTCTGAAACTATTCTGAACTATTGACGGCAATGAATAATTGCACGCTTTTGTCTGTTTTTTCAAGGACTTCTATGTTGTTCTAATTTTTTTTGCCGTGACTGATCGACATTAAACGGTACTCAAAGTTGTCATCGGACACTTCAAATATTTTGACAAACTTGTGGAGCTTCTTGCTTTTCTCTCGTCAAGTTCAGAGAGATCACATATGTTTTCTTGTCATGCAGATATGAGTCACTACTGTGAAGTTTTTCTCGAATGTCTAACACATGAATCGACTACCTGAATAGTGTATGTCTTTTTTTCACAAACCCATACCTAAACTTACGCACAGATCTAGCTGAAAGTTGCATGCTATTGTTAGAGTTGAAAACTTCGATAAGTAAAATGGAAAAATTAATTGTTGAAGAACTTCAAATATGTCTTTTTCTTGATTATGAACAACTAAATGTGCGTAACTTTTTTCCTGCGCATTCTGAAGACGCTGTTCGATGCGAATAACATCTAGATGAGCTAGTATTGGAATTTTTCGATACATAGTAGTCCGTTTTCCAGTGTAAAATAGAGCTTGACTATGTTCTCTTCTAATGACATATAGGGAATCTAAAACTTCATAGCTTGCAGAAATGTTGACATACTCCAATTGAAGCGTATTTAAATAAATTTAATAGCTGCGTGGGGTGTTGACATGTTGTTCACCTACACCGACACCCTTCAGCATTTCTATTACTTTTTTTCATTCTTTTTCTTTTTTTCTTTCTCTCTTCTTACTTTTTATTATTGAATGTGTGTAGACTCAGATTCTTGTTAGCTGGGAGGCATGTTATAGGCATGCATCTCATATGCCTTCATATATTCGTTTCTTATCGACATTTCTTTTATTTTGTTCACATTTTTTTATTCTTTTTTTTTTCAACACACTATTCTTCTTGAGTCACTCGAAGAGAAAACAAATATAAAGAGGAAATTAAAAGGGATCTTCTAATATTATCCATCACATTCAAATCGACATGTCCATATTTTTCGTACGGTTTATCTGAAGTTTTCGGTAATGAGTGATATTTGATGAGCATATTTGTAGTATAAAAATGTCAAACCAAATCATCGAATTCTTCTGCAGGCAACGTCTCTATTTTTTTCTCTATTCTATGGGCAGTTACAGAATCCGTACCTTCAGGCATTAACTAGACCAACTATGATGTAACAGAGACGAGATTTCATGAAGAAAAGAATACAGATAAGTACTTAACCGCATCGTATGCCTTGCATATGAGCCAGATTGTAACATGTCTTTACAACTCTTCTTCTTTTTACCGTAGTAGTAAATCGACTTTTCCTTCTATTTAGTTTTAAACAATTAAACAAAAGATTTTTGACTTTCCCTTTCGGAGAAATTCATTATCGCTAGAAGGGATGCAGCTCTATGATCATAAATTCGTTCCGTATCGTAAATAGTAAACAGTCACTTTGAGAAAGAACAAAATCCAACAGGATTGAAGTTTATTAATCCAATCCAACATCTAAAGACCATCATGTGAACCTCGCATGATCAAACTGTTGTCTCATTTGTTTATATACCATTTCAGCATTGCATCGATTATCATTGCGGTACTGGAAAATCATTTACTATGAATTATAGTGACGAGAGGTTGATTCCTATTGATACACCACTTGGAAAATTCAACGTTTGGACAAAACGCTTTGGCGAGAATGCCACAATAAAACTGCTGCTACTACATGGTGGTCCTGGTGCTACATGCGAACTTTTTGAAAGTTTTGAAAAGTTTCTTCTTAAAGAAGGAATTGAATTCTATTATTACAATCAACTTGGTTCTTTCTTGAGCGATCAACCGACTGACATTAGCTTATGGACAATCGAACGCTTTGCAGATGAAGTGGAGCAAGTTAGAAAAGCTCTTGGACTCAATCAAAATAATTTTTATCTATTTGGCCATAGTTGGGGTGGCTTATTGGCGTTGGAATATGCATTGTTGTATCCAAATAATTTGAAAGGTTTGATCATCAGTAATATGATGAGCAGTTGTCAAGATTATGGCTCATATGTTGAACATGTGTTAGCAAAACAAATGGATCCTAAGGTATTAGCAGCAATAAGGGAATTCGAAGCTAATGATGATTATCAAAATCCTGAATATATGGAAATTCTTATGTCACATTTCTATATTAAACACTTTTGTCGGTTACAGCCATGGCCTGAAGTATTCAGTCGTGCATTTCAACACTTGAATGGTCAAGTTTATACATTGATGCAAGGTCCTTCAGAATTTGGAATTTCAGGTCGAATAAAAGAATGGAGCAGAAAAGACGATTTATCAAAAGTGACAGTACCAACGCTTATAATAGGCGCAACATATGATACTATGGATCCAGAACATATGAAATGGATGGCCAAGCAAGTACAAAATGGTTCAAGTGTCATTTGTCCAAATGGTAGCCACTGTTCCATGTGGGATGATCAAGAACACTTTTTTCCCGCACTTATCCAGTTCATCAAACGTGTCAACAATAATGAAAACGCCAACTGAATGTTCACATTATACTACACATAGAAATACTTTGAGATGCATTCTCGTAGTCTATTTTTTTGTACGTGATGAACAATTTGAGGGTGTGAGTGTGGGAGTTTGTATGAGTCTTCTCTTGAGTCACTCATACTTATACCCGCTCATACTCTACACCATTTTGATAAAACTAGCACTTATACATTCAATATATTTCCTCTTAAGATATATAAATGATAGTAATCTGGGGTGTGGGATGTGGTTGTGGGGTGTGGAGTGAGTGTGGATGTGAAGTAGGTGTGATTGAAAGGAAAATCTACACCTACTTTCACACCCAGTACTTCTTGATGTATTGAAATAAAATGAGTCTGAGAACTTTTGCAGTGAAGTGTCAATGGCGATTTTTGTATTCAACTCACAGTTGTCAGATATCAAGCGTGATCGTTCATATCTTATTCAAATGTTTATTTCATCTGTCTATGTCACAAAATCACGCTGGACAGATGATTAAGAGTTTATTAAAACTCTCATGGAATGCACTTTATCTACATTTAGCTAGACATCTAAATATGATTGAAAAAATGCAAAGATGTGACATTTTGTCATTGAAGCTTGAGAAAGCTGTCCATAGACAGAATATTAACTATAGGCTTGCAGGGCAGAAGTGGTCGGAGAAGAGCTCAATCATTTACTAGGTTCATTCAAATCAAGTTATATCGTCGATCTTTGACAGTTATGACATGGTTTCAAATAGCGATTAATAAATCTATGGAATAACAAATCAATCTATTTAGTCTAAAAAAAATTGATTATTTGAAAACAAAAACAATCATTTATCTCGTATTCGTGTTGAAGAAAAGATGCCCGTTGTAGACAAAGCTACAAACACGGAATTCTTTCCATCTACTATTGACCATCGTCGCTTTCTCGGATTAACAGTGAAAGACTTTCTTATATTCGTCAGTCAACTTCTTCTTCCTCTCGTAATAGGCATATTCACTGTGGTTATTACATTCGATCAACGGAATGAAAACCGTATTCAACGTGCTGAAGATCGACTTATAGCTGAACAACAACGTTTACATGACAAACAGCTAGCAGCAGAGAAACGCGAAGCTGATGATCTCAATGCTGCGATTCAAAGAAATATGACCCGTGATCAACGAATTTATGAAATTAATATCGAACAAGAACGATATAAGAAAGAGAACGAGAAATATCTTGATGCTTTATTACTGTCTTATTATAATGAGATGGGTGAATTATTACAAAAAAACAAATGAAAAACCATTATCATCGAATTCGATCATTTTCTCATTGACTCGAGCCAAAACATTGAATGTCATCGAACAAATTGGACCGATTACAACAGTTCATCTTCTTATGTTTCTGTACGATGCTGGCCAATTAGCCATTGGTGAAAAGTCCCTTGATCTCACTGAAGCTCGTCTCAATACTATTGATTTACGAAATCAAAGATGTCTAATTAATATCTCTTTAAAAGGTACGCATCTCAATAATGCCTCATTTGTTGGTCAAAATCTTTCATATGGAAATTTCACAAATGCTCATCTTAATCATGCTAATTTTAGTGGATCCATTTGTATTGGTACTATATAATAATCTAACAGCAAGTTTAATGTCTTATGTTTTATTAGACAATACTGATCTTGGAGGTGCAACCTTCTTGGCTACAAATTTGTCTTATGCCAATTTGTCGCACATTCAATGTCCAGGTACCCTTGGAAATATCTCGGCATGTCAATTACGCCAAGCTCTGATACTTGAAAATGCTCAAATGCCAAATCGATCACTTGAATTACTGCCTATAACTCTTCTCTACAGTGAAGGTCAACCGCATTGCCGGTCATCTGTTCTAGGGTGAGTAAATATTTGTGAGAGATATATCTATCAATAATGTACATCGATTAGTGAAAGTGATACATTTCCAATGGCTGATAGTAGTCGATGGGAAATCAAACCCGCTTATTTCGTATTCAATCAGTACCGATTTCTCAATGAAAAGTATTTGTAAGTAATTATATTGTTTTACACTTTATTCGGAAACTATTATTCTATCACATAGGAAATTCAACGCATGTGTTTTCATGCCTATAAATGTTACAAATCAAGTGGAAATGAATCAACATGTAGATTTAACAGTTTATCATGCACTTATACGCGGAAGAATCCACTCAATTATGACCATTCATGGTGCCACCATCTTGAACTTCATATCGAGTCTGATTTCAAGGCACCTGATACTCATCTTCTACATCCATGGGAAACTTATTAATTACTTGTGAACACTGATTTTCGTTCGTGTAGTATTTAGTAGCTTCATCTTTGTCTAATAATTCAATTTCGTTATTCTTGTTTTAGCCATACCTGAAGTATTGTTTTATCTTTACACATTCTGTTTGTTCTTTTGAGAAGAATTATTTGACTGAGAAACTAAACATCTTTTAGGAAAAATACATATTAAAAGAGATGTAGAATATCTAAGGTTCAGATTCGAGTTTTTAGGGCTGATTCACTCAGACAAGTGTTCCAAAACCTCTATCATAAGTTCCAAATGCAATTCGACGAACTCCATCGAATGGTGAAAACTGCTTCTCGATACATATTATAGTAATCTAGAAAAACCCAAATTATCATTGTTTCTTCCATTGTACGAACTTAGAAAAAATAATTTTTGGACCGATCCGTCCACCAGAATGTAAAACCACACGTATTTCATGTGTCAAGGGTGTGGGTATGGATGTGGATCTTCTGTTCAATGACCACCACACCCCACCCGAAAAAATCAATTGGTCAAACAGCTGAAAGAATCATGTTAATGTGATGAACTATCTCTGCGACATTAAAATTGCTTTTCTTACTCCTTATTATCCTCTCAAATAAGTACACGGATGCTTACAAAAATTATTCAGAAGAGTTTTACAATGCAGCGAAAATTTCTAGAGAAGATACAAATTCTAGAAGCATGTCATAGACTGTTCATAGAGGTCAGACAAGTAGAATGCGTTTTTTTATTCGATACCTATGCGTCCTATTTAATAAATCTTGACTAATTGAAAAAAAAAAAGTTGTATATCGAATTGATGAAAACACGAATTCTATTTGTAGATTCCAAATATTTCACAATATTTTAGAATCCACATGAACATTATCTTCAATTCTTTAATGCTCATTTATTTTATATTCTGAATAAAACATAAGATCATTCTATTCATATTTTAAAACAGGATTATTTAAACTAAATATTGTTGACTGTAAATCCTTCATATTACAATAAGTATCTATAAACGTAATAAAACAAACTGATATTAAATCTATTGTGTAAACAGATCATAATCGAATATGAACTTGAAAAAACTATAATATGAATCAGGTTAAAGAAAAATAAATGAAAACTACTCAACAGAATCTAACATGTATAAGAAAGATAAATATATAACAATATGTTAACAATATTTCTTTCTGTTTTAACATTTATAAATAGGCTCTCATCTGCTAAGAAATCAATTCAGATCAGCGACCAAGCTCGAATCATTTCTTGATTAGCGATGTCGAACTGAACCGAATGAGAACTAATTTTAGAAAAATAGTGGCTTTATGCAAACGAAAATAAAATGATTGATTGAGCTATTTTTTTTTCGATTCTACTGCACGTAATGATCAAACGACCCTGTCAAGTGAATAATGAAAAAATGGTCATTAAAATGTCTTATTACTTGTAGCTAGACCATTCCGACCATTAAAATGTATCTTTTCAAACAAATAATGGTGAAATGGCCATTAAAACGAATAATAATTCATTAATGAATAATTTTGACCATTTCACAATTTCGAACTTTGTTTTTCGGAGTTTCAAACTGATTTTAAAAATGCTTATAACTTCAAAAATTTATATGGATTATTAATGTTTGCTTATCAAACGTTTTTTT